GGAAAAGTAATAATAATAACAAGTAAGAGTCCTATATTCGGCTGTGCCGAATCTTATATACCCTTCACCACAGTGTATTTAAAAACAGGTAAGAAAATATAGTCGGGCGTGGCCGACGATATGATACCCTACACCAGTTATGAATATTAAATGTGATTTATTTTTCATAATATCGCATTTATCTTCAATATTCCCTTGTTCCGATACATTTAAGCAATTTATGGATGAAAAACTAATTTTCTGAAAGAGGCTTTACATGGGGGCTAGGGGCAACTATGGACCAAGCCCGATAAAATTGTGTGAATATATTTATATTTACATAATATTTTATTGTGCTGAATTTCATCGCGATATTTGTGTTTATAAGTTAATTTGGGACATTCAAGTAATTTTCTGAAGGGGACTTTGTATGGGAGCTAGGGTCAAATGGGGCCCGATCTTTATGAAATTTGGCAGGATTATCAAGACTTCTATAAAACTTAGTTGTGCCGTATTTTATCGATATATCTGTATATTTATTCGACTCAGAAAACGATTCTAAGCCGATCGGTATACTTTAAGGTGGGTCTAGAACGAATATTTTTGTATGTTACAAACATCAGCACAAATCCAATATACCCTCCCCACTAAAGTGGTGTAGGGTATAAATATCAATTCTATAAAATTGTAAGTTATTTCATTTTCCAGTATATATCATTATTACAGCAATAGCAAAACGAACAACAACAACGCTAAACGAAATAAACACACAAAAAAAAAAAACAAAATACACAAGGCAATGAAACCAACAGACATCCAAACATACGAAACGAAATACACAAAAAAACTAAAACAAAATACACAACGCAATGAAACCAACAGACACCCAAACATATGAAACTGAATACACCAAAAAACAAAAACAATATACACAAGGCAATGAAACATACGAAACGAAATACTCCAAAAAAAGCAAAAACAAAATACACAACGCAATGAAACCAACAGACATCCAAACATACGAAACTGAATGCACCAAGAAACAAAAACAATATACACAAGGCAATCCAAACATACGAAACTGAATGCACCAAGAAACAAAAACAATATACACAAGGCAATGAAACACACAGGCATCCAAACATACGAAACGAAATTCTCAAAAAAACAAAAACAAAATACACAACGCAATGAAACCAACAGGCATCCAAACATACGAACCTGAATACACCAAGAAACAAAAACAATATACACAAGGCAATGAAACACACAGCCATCCAAACATATAAAACGAAAATGAATAAGCAGTGTTGTTGTTGTTGCTTATATCAAAGCATGAAAAAAATTGTCTTTTTTATAAAATTTTTAGAGGTTGTCTCGGATTTTTACTCATATTTCCGGTATTTATGGACCGATTTTGGTGATTTTAAATAGCGATCTTCTCGAAAGCATGTCTAACAGAATTATTGAAGATTCGGATCTCGCCGATATCTGGGGTCCTCTAAAAACTGATTTCAACAAACACACAGACGGACAGACAGACAGACAGACGGACATAGCTTAATCAACTCCGCTACCTATAAGGATCCAGAATATATATACTTTATGGGGTCGGAAAATTATATTATAGAAATTACAAACGGAATGACAAACTTATATATACCCTTCTCACGAAGGTGAAGGGTATAATAATAACAGTGTAGTCGTAGTTAAATTAATTCGCTGCAGCAAACAGCAAAAGCTACTCGTAACAGCAAACTGTATCAAAGATCATAGTTTAAAGTATCATATAACATGATGCAATTAACAAAATATAAGTAGAAATACAAAATGAGTATTATTATTTTTTATACAAAACATTTAATTGCACTTATAGTTTTCTATTGTGCAACACAGCTTACAACTCAACTCATTGAGGAGTTTCACGTGATGTTTGTTTCTTCAAATACATTTTGTATCTTACAATTTTAAATATTTTTTTTTCCAACATCATTACCACATGGTGTTGAAAATGTTCAGCAGATTGTTTTTCTTTTTCAAGATGCTAATTGATTTTTCAACTAAATCATTGTTGTGGCATGTTGCCATCGATAATTATTTGAAAATATGCATGTAAAATACAAAGAAAGATTTTAGGGTAAAATGTTGGTGTTGTTTTTTAAATGTCAATATTGAAAATTTGTTTTAATTTTTTTTTAAACACATGTTTATGTATTTTGGGAAGTTTTTATAAGTGTCAAATGTTAGATTTGTTTGACATACATATGAACTGACAACTTATAACGTATATTTTTTTAGAAGAGTAGAACTTTAAATCGATAACCAAGTTTTAGACATATTGATAACTGTCACAACATTTCGCTAAGAATATACTTAAAAGAAATAAAGAAGCGAAAATATTCATTGCCATTTATTGGCTCCTTTAGACCAACAGTCTCACTATCCCTTTGTAATCTATGGAATGACAATTGACTACATCCTGCAACAAGCACATGTTTAAAGATATATGCATGGGTAGTCTGGAGGCAATCAGTATTCCTGATAGGTTAAATAACTAGTTCGGTACTGTCTTCCCGAACTGCTGGGCAGAACTAAGTTAAAAATGAAAACAGGTGTTTTCTGTCATATGCCTGAAGAGAACTTTACGACTGTCAAATTTCCGTAGTTTCTCTCGCGGCTTTTTTCCTTTAATGAGTCGACTTATATTTAAGGTATCAATGGCAGTGTCTTTTTTTAATTTTTTTATTTATGGCAGTAGTACTAATGTCAAAGCTGTTAGACAAGACAGTTACCAGGTGATGAGTCTCAGGTGTTAGTTACTCATTTAGTGCTTTAAGTATTAAAAAAACTAGAATTTTTAAAACCCTTTATCTCAGAAGTTTGGCCCTACGTAAGTGTAGAAATGTCTCTCCGATCTATTTCAAACGAAAACAAGAAAATTTATAAGGAATGAAGCGATATTAAGGATCAAAACAAAGGATCTTCACAAAACCCATAACAATGGACAACTATATAGTTATCTTCAATCATTAGCCAGATCATTAATAGTCCGGACTAGTGCTATCGACTTAATGTCGATTAAGTTCTACTAATTTAATGTGGTAGTAAAAAAACTGGACTTTTTAAACCCTTCATGCCACAATTGGACAAACTTTGACCCTACGTAGGTGTAGAAATGTCTTTCTGATCTTTTTCAAACTAAAGCAAGACATTTTATAATGGAAGCAATCAAAGGATCTTCACAGAGTCCATAACGATCAACAAATAGGGAGTCAAGATCAATCCTCTGTTTATCTAGCCGTATTGACTGAATTTTTAAACTAATAATAGCCAAAGTTTAAACACCCCGACTTAATGTCGACTAAGTTCCACGATTTTAGCACAGAGTGTGGTAATAAAAACCTGCACTTTTTAAATACTAGTTCTCAGAAGTTGACAAACTTTCAAAATAACGTATCTTTAATAGAGAATGAAAAAATCGAAAGAACAAAAATTAAGAGAGATCCAGGAGTTTAATGGAAAGTTCTTTATATCAACACTTATGCTGCTAGTGTAGACTTTTCTACCACACTACAGCCCAAAAGTATAAAAGTCGTCTGTACCTCTGGATCACAGAAAAAGGACTTTTTACGCACAAGAGGTACATGTATTAAGGCAAAGATTTGGTTCAAAGCGTTACACTAAAGACATCATCAAAATCTTTTAACATAATTTACCGATATAGTGTACTATAAATATTAGTTATGGATTAGTTAGAGTTTGTGATTAAATCCACTGATCCGCCAAATAGAAGCACATGAAAAATTTTAAAAATTTATGAAAGAAGAATTTGTCACCTAACCTATGTAATCTATTTGGTGACTTTTGACCTCGCAACCTGTAAATCTTTTAGGTCCAAGTCTAAAACTTAAACTCAACAAATCTTCCTCCTCTAACAAAAAAAATCGAAAGAAGTAAGAGTGTTTTATTCGGCTATATCCTTTATTATATGGATACCCACCAGCAAAGCGTATTTTGGAAATTAAAGTTAGTTTTGAAAGCTGTTCCAATATATGGACTTAGGAGTTTTTTTGGGGCTTGAGTGGGTCGTGCGCTACATAATGTGAAATAGTGAATATTTTCCAAATTTTCCGTAATTTTTAACTATAAACTGACTGAAACTGAACTAGGGACCTTGTATGATGAATAGGGTCAATTATGATCGGAATTGTGGTAGAGAAATTTTGGTTTCTATAAAACGAATTTCATCGCTATACTTGTATTTTTAAGCCAATTATGAGCATTAAATTAGTGTTCTAAAGGGGACCTTATATGGGGGATAGACTTAATTATAGACCGATCCTAATAAAAATAGTGAAGAGAAAAGGTTCGACAAATTTCCTTTACTTTAATTTTTAAGCCAGTTATGAGCAAAATATGACTTATATTTTGATGGGGGCCTTAACTAGGAGGTAGGATCAATTATGGTCCGATAGTCTCCACACATTAGAATATAATTACAAATTGAGTAAAATTTTATGACGATTGTTGTATAAATAACTTATTTATGACTCTTAAAGCTGTATTCCGGGGTCCACTTGTGTGAGGGCTAGGTAAAATCGTGGTCCGATATATCAAATTAAACTTTATAAATAAAGAATATTTGTGCAAAATTTCCAATAGACAGACGGATGGACATGGCTAGATTCTGGCGGCCACTTATGTGGCGGCTAGGTGAAATCGTGGACCGATATAGCAAATCAAACCTCGTAAATAAAGGACATGGCTAGATCCTATTAAAATTTAATAACTATTAAAATTTATGAACTTTTGTAGGTCTACGACCAATATTCCGATATTTTACAAACAGAATGATAAAATTAATATACCCGCCATCTTTTTTGATAAATTACAAACACATTCCCTTAATATAAATACTTATTTTGTCACTGAGGAACATTTTGTAAATATCGAATAAAAGGATAACTTTTTGTGTAAATGCTAATGTACATACATATGTATGAAGTTGTTGTAAAACTTACCGGTTTTTTAGCTGCCAACGGTTTGTTAATCAAGTTCAAATGTGGCTCGAATTCCTGGCCAAATTTTTCTATTAAACTATTTTCAGCAACCTGTTGTGGACATTCTTCTTGCTGTACCAATTCCCAGATGTCTTGAGGTACATAAAATGACAAGACCAAACCCAAAAACAGACCAATGACAAAATAATGATTACGACTTAAACTGGAACGACGCATTTTAAACGTATAGCTGCTGGTGTTGCTGTTTTTTCTTGCTGCTGCTGCTGCTACTGCTGGTGGTGATTGTGGTAATTGTAGTGGTAATGACAGACGAATAGGAAGAATGCATTGAAGAACATGTGGGGAAATTCAGTGATAATAAAAAAAAATGCGAAAAAACAACAACACACACAACTAACACTGCTGCATGATGCACTGTCACGCAATGTGGTCAGTCTGTTGGTGATGATGATGTTGTTGTTATTGCTGCTGCTGTCGTTTGGTTAGTTGTTGTTGATAAATTTGCTGGTATATTCAATGATGTTGCTGATTCTTTTTTGTGCTTTTTTTTTTTTGTTCTTCAATTCATACATAGACTGCTGACACTGATCTTGGCACTAGTTTACGAGTAATTTTGTTGTTTTGTTTATTATTTTTATTTTAATAAATTGTTGTTTTTTATTTTCTTTTCATTTATTTATTTGTTGTTGTTGTTGTTTGTTAAAAATTCTTTCCCTTTGCAAATAATAATTGACACTTGGGCTTTTGTTTGTTGTTTTTATACTTTTTTAAATTATGTTGATAAATGTTTATTTATTAGACTTAATCAAAACATAATTAACTTTATCATCAACATCGTTGTAATCACAATAACAACAATCATAATCATAATTTGCACAATTTACTTTATTTTTCATTCTTTTTCCACAACATTTTTGCCGACACTAACTTTTTTCGTTTGTTTTAATCAACAAGAACAACAAAAAAAAAAAAAAACAAATACACGGCAGAACTTTTTTTATTAATTCTTTATAAAAAAAAAAGAAAACCAAAATTAAATTTATTGCTCTGCTTTTGCAACTGATAATTTTTTATTTTTCCTTGGTTTTTTATTAAATTTCATTTGCACTTTAAATTTTTTAATTTTTCCTGAATCCCTTAGTTTTTTTCCTAAAGGAACCGGTTGTTTATTTTCAAGGAGCATTTATTTCTTTTTTTTTCACCACAAATGTTTGCTTAAATTATAAACATCATCAACACGAGACACCATTTAAATGAAGATTTTTTTTTACTTTAACCAAACAACTTTTTTAATTAAATTTAATTAGCAAAAACCCAAAAATTCTACACAAAAGGCACCAAACAATACGAAAACGTAGAAATTGAAAAAATGCCGGGCTCTTATAAATAAAACAACAACCGAAAAAAAAACAATTAAATAAAAACACCGAGTTTATCAAATATAAAAGAAACCCGACAACCGTCTAAACGACCGCACGCGTACGAAAGTAATGTCAAACTGACAAGAGCCGATTTTAATGTCACGTTAATAGAGTGCTAATATAGACAGGGTTGTATTTTTTAGTACTCTTTTGTGATAAACATAAGTTTGTTAAACTAATGTTAGAGAAACCCTAAGCGATGTTTAAATTTAATAACAGTCAAACTTAAATTGTATGTTTAAATAAATTATAGAAAAAATTAGTTAATTAAGTACATATGTTATTTTTTTTTAAATTTTCATAGACAAAAGTGTGTCTGCTATATTAAGACGAGCAAAATGTTTTTTATTACCTTCTTTCTTTCTTTCTTTCACTTAATGCATATTTCAATTTCATATTTTATTTAAATATTTACAAAATTTTAAATACGCTATTTGTCTTCTTGACTTATTTTAATAAAGTGATGCCAAGTTAATAAATGGTTCTATTTATGTGTTATTTTAAAAAACTTAAAAACTGTTTTACCATAATTATGTTAAATGCGACACTGTCTTATCATATTCTAATAACTGTATTATCATTTATCTTTAAGGTTGCCATTGTTTACGGATAATTAAATTATCACTATGATTATACATAATTGGTAACACAGTCACAACTAACAAATTTTATGTAAATGCAAAAAAGAGCAGAAATTAGAATAAAAAGTAACTTTTCTTTTATTATAATGCTTTCTGGGTCTAGTAAACCTATTTTTTTTGTCTTCTAATTTCGAAAGGTAGAAATGGAAAAATCAGTACTATTGCACTTTTTGGCTAGTTTATAGTCTATAGTCTAGTCTATAGTCTAGTCTATAGTCTAGTCTATAGTCTAGTCTATAGTCTAGTCTATAGTTCTAGTCTATAGTCTAGTTATAGTCTAGTCTATAGTCTAGTCTATATTAAGTCTATAGTCTAGTCTATAGTCTAGTCTATAGTCTAGTCTATAGTCTAGTCTATAGTCTATAGTCTAGTCTATAGTCTAGTCTATAGTCTAGTCTATAGTCTAGTCTATAGTCTAGTCTATAGTCTAGTCTATAGTCTAGTCTATAGTCTAGTCTATAGTCTAGTCTATAGTCTAGTCTATAGTCTAGTCTATAGTCTAGTCTATAGTCTAGTCTATAGTCTAGTCTATAGTCTAGTCTATAGTCTAGTCTATAGTCTAGTCTATAGTCTAGTCTATAGTCTAGTCTATAGTCTAGTCTATAGTCTAGTCTATAGTCTAGTCTATAGTCTAGTCTATAGTCTAGTCTATAGTCTAGTCTATAGTCTAGTCTATAGTCTAGTCTATAGTCTAGTCTATAGTCTAGTCTATAGTCTAGTCTATAGTCTAGTCTATAGTCTAGTCTATAGTCTAGTCTATAGTCTAGTCTATAGTCTAGTCTATAGTCTAGTCTATAGTCTAGTCTATAGTCTAGTCTATAGTCTAGTCTATAGTCTAGTCTATAGTCTAGTCTATAGTCTAGTCTATAGTCTAGTCTATAGTCTAGTCTATAGTCTAGTCTATAGTCTAGTCTATAGTCTATAGTCTAGTCTATAGTCTAGTCTATAGTCTAGTCTATAGTCTAGTCTATAGTCTATAGTCTAGTCTATAGTCTAGTCTATAGTCTAGTCTATAGTCTAGTCTATAGTCTATAGTCTAGTCTATAGTCTAGTCTATAGTCTAGTCTATAGTCTAGTCTATAGTCTAGTCTATAGTCTAGTCTATAGTCTAGTCTATAGTCTAGTCTATAGTCTAGTCTATAGTCTAGTCTATAGTCTAGTCTATAGTCTAGTCTATAGTCTAGTCTATAGTCTAGTCTATAGTCTAGTCTATAGTCTAGTCTATAGTCTAGTCTATAGTCTAGTCTATAGTCTAGTCTATAGTCTAGTCTATAGTCTAGTCTATAGTCTAGTCTATAGTCTAGTCTATAGTCTAGTCTATAGTCTAGTCTATAGTCTAGTCTATAGTCTAGTCTATAGTCTAGTCTATAGTCTAGTCTATAGTCTAGTCTATAGTCTAGTCTATAGTCTAGTCTATAGTCTAGTCTATAGTCTAGTCTATAGTCTAGTCTATAGTCTAGTCTATAGTCTAGTCTATAGTCTAGTCTATAGTCTAGTCTATAGTCTAGTCTATAGTCTAGTCTATAGTCTAGTCTATAGTCTAGTCTATAGTCTAGTCTATAGTCTAGTCTATAGTCTAGTCTATAGTCTAGTCTATAGTCTAGTCTATAGTCTAGTCTATAGTCTAGTCTAGTCTAGTAGTCTAGTCTATAGTCTAGTCTATAGTCTAGTCTATAGTCTAGTCTATAGTCTAGTCTATAGTCTAGTCTATAGTCTAGTCTATAGTCTAGTCTATAGTCTAGTCTATAGTCTAGTCTATAGTCTAGTCTATAGTCTAGTCTATAGTCTAGTCTATAGTCTAGTCTATAGTCTAGTCTATAGTCTAGTCTATAGTCTAGTCTATAGTCTAGTCTATAGTCTAGTCTATAGTCTAGTCTATAGTCTAGTCTATAGTCTAGTCTATAGTCTAGTCTATAGTCTAGTCTATAGTCTAGTCTATAGTCTAGTCTATAGTCTAGTCTATAGTCTAGTCTATAGTCTAGTCTATAGTCTAGTCTATAGTCTAGTCTATAGTCTAGTCTATAGTCTAGTCTATAGTCTAGTCTATAGTCTAGTCTATAGTCTAGTCTATAGTCTAGTCTATAGTCTAGTCTATAGTCTAGTCTATAGTCTAGTCTATAGTCTAGTCTATAGTCTAGTCTATAGTCTAGTCTATAGTCTAGTCTATAGTCTAGTCTATAGTCTAGTCTATAGTCTAGTCTATAGTCTAGTCTATAGTCTAGTCTATAGTCTAGTCTATAGTCTAGTCTATAGTCTAGTCTATAGTCTAGTCATAGTCTAGTCTATAGTCTAGTCTATAGTCTAGTCTATAGTCTAGTCTATAGTCTAGTCTATAGTCTAGTCTATAGTCTAGTCTATAGTCTAGTCTATAGTCTAGTCTATAGTCTAGTCTATAGTCTAGTCTATAGTCTAGTCTATAGTCTAGTCTATAGTCTAGTCTATAGTCTAGTCTATAGTCTAGTCTATAGTCTAGTCTAGTCTAGTCTAGTCTTCTACTGAATGTGTAGGATAAATGTGAAGTGTGCTGTGAATGGTGATAGATGTAAAGTATCTTATACAAGTGACACCATTGAATTTTCCTTCCTCTGTTAGTAAAAACTTGACATTGGCTTATTTGATGGATTTGTATTTCGTTCTACCGATAATGTCTCTAGGTGCTATTGCCGAATTAACAGAGGTCATCCCATCTACGTTGTTGTAAACAGAAGTCATGTTTTTGCATCTCGTAAGAGATTAGATAGCTGTGGTACTTGAGCAAAGTGCTTGTACATGGACCGGCAGAACCATGTACGGAAATTGCCACCAGCGTATGGGTGCAAGGCACGGAAAGGGAAGGTGGTGAGTGACGTTAGATAATGCCTTCATGGCAGGTGTTCGCGTAAAGTACTTCAACTTACAACCTTCTCGCGAAGTCGAATTTTTTTTAAATCTAATTTTTGGACAACTTTTGGAAGCTTCAGATACCAAACCATTTAACAAATTTAATTCATTGACATTGCGTTAATTCCCAGCAGAACCTTTCATTACCAAGTAAAGGGATACAATACTAAAACTTACTTACACAGTAGCATTTTAAGTCGTTATTTTAACATGGTAGTGTCACCACAATCGTTTACAAGTAATTTGAAAAAGAAATTAATGTAAAACGTATATAAAGCTTCTATAGCATCACGGAGAAGATGACTAATTAGTTAGAAATATTTATACCTATAAGACTTTAGTAATAAGACGTTATTATATTACTTCTATGTAATCAGGACTATATGTAGTAGTCATTGGAAGGCATATTAATAGGTAAGTGGTTTACAATTGAAAATCAAGTTTTTGCTGGGAATTGTCTTAAATAATTTATATGTACTCTTTTATATGGCGATCCTTTGATTTAGTATACAATGTGTATTTAATTAAAGCTTTCTGAGTTTGTCTAACAAAGAGTGTTCTTTAAAATTATATACAATTATTTACCTTGAACTATAAATCCTTTATCAAAAGATTTTCCACATACATACACACATGTAGAGTACATATACATACATACACATACATTCATATGTACATATAAATATTCGCTTTGAACTTTAATCAGTTTTTTCTTGTGTTTTTTTTTTTTAATTTAGCTTTAACAGCCTTGAACTACGAAGGATTCTTTTTTTTCGTTAATGCAAATATTATTTGGGGTACAAGAATATTTCATATAAAATGATACATACGATTAAAATATTAATTTTAAAATAAAAATTAAAGCTATTGCCAACCAAGTGAAAGCATTAAATTTTTAAAATATCTAGGAAATTTTATACATATATGTACAAAATGTTCTGAGTATGAACCACATTAAAATTGTTTTATTATTTCATTCTCCCTCGTATTGCAAAATGAAAAAAAAAAAATAAACAAATAAAAGAACTCTTAACATTTGAAATGTAGTTTAACATTGAACATGTCATCTGTTTCCTGTTGATATCATGTGGAAAATAACAATAAAAGGAAGAAAAAACAATGAGCAACGCTTTTATAACGGCATTTACTCTGTTCCTAAACTGCCTCCACCACAATTGAGTAGTAAGTGGCCATAAACAATCAACAACCCATTTTCATTTTATCCTTTTTTTTCATTTTCCTTTTCGGGGGTATGAAAAGGAACTCTTCTATACTGCAATGTAATGAAAGAGAAAAAAATAAGAAGAAATGTACATAAAAAACAATGAATGAACGAAAAAAGAATAGGACAAAATAAAAACAACAAAAAATTTGGAATCAATAAATGTCGGCACTCTTTTTCGAATTGTCCTAGTTTTTTCCAAGTTCGAAACACATATGTGGAGAAAATCATTGAGTAAGAGTGATTTTTTTTTTTGTGAATTAATATGGTAATACCAGCAAATAACTACGATTATTTCGAATTTTGCAGACTGTAGAGCAG